TAATATGATATTGGATAAACTTATATTCAGTCCAGTCATATCAAATTGTCAAAGTCAAAAACATGTAAAACTCATGTATTCAAGTTCCCTTACTTGATTTCAGGGTTTTTGTTTTTCCTTACTTGCATCTGCTTTGGTTAGACAGGTGCTGATCTAATTCTGCTTTGTTTCTTTATAATGCAGACTATACTGGGAACACCAGAGAAAGCAAGAAAGGAACTACCTTCTTTAAAAGAAAAATAATAAAATAAAAAGAAAAAAAATACAAGAACACATTTTGACTTCCATTTCCAAGCATTTGACCTGATCAGAAAATCTAAATGAATAGGTAGTCCAGAGAAAGATGGAGACAGTACATTCTGTCTTTTTCAGGGACCTAGTTTGGCTTCAAGGCTTGGCTAACTGCATGCAGTGAGGCTAATGCTGTATTCAGCTTTTCCTGCATCCTTTTTCAAACATCAGATTCTGACCCAGTATGGATAAAGACGGCAGGACTGATTTAAAGCACTTTTTAGAAAAGGCAAAGAAGCATAAACAATCTGGAAAGATTGAAAAATATTATAGTGAACTTTTTCTAGATGATTTTTAATTGCATAGCTGCTCTTTAAGAAACACTTTCTTGAAAAATATATAGGTTTTATATATTAAAATATACAATAAAATATATGATTTATATATTAAAATATATAAAGCTGACTAATAGTGTCTCCATTATTAAACAGGTACACAATTTTTTAGGTTTGAAACACAATATTGGACCATGCAAAACACAGTTTTGCCTTCAGAAAGTACAAATATTGAACCTGTACATGAAATTATGCTTTGTTTGATTAAGTTTTTTATTTGGTATTAATATTAATATAGTGGTTTGATAACTTAGTATACATTTAATTGGTTTTTGGTATATGTCTATTTTGAATCTAAAAGCCACCCTGAAGAAAACTCCACTGATTAAAGTATTATTATTTTTTAGATGTCATAATCCTGAAAAAGAGGAAAATTTTTATTTTTATGTTGTTTATCTAAAACAAAATGTATAGCTACTTCTTTTTGGTTTTCTAATACTCCTTTAAAAAGGTAAAACCTAAAGACCAAACGAGACGATGAGCCTCGTGACACAATGAAGATGAAACAGAAATGATGGGAAAGCCTTTACATAATAAAACCTGAACATTTAATGAAGATATTAGGGAGCAGTCAAGGATGATGCCAAACGTCATAGAACTCTAAAGGAGATGCAGGATTTTCTGTGCTCTCGCTGTGAGAGGAAACTGATTTATTCTGCATGTATACAGGCTGATGGCTGCAGGTCTTTTCTTGAACAGAATACAACCAAGCATCACTAAAATGTCTTTTCAGTGGAGCCAAGCATAAACCCCAACCCAACAAAAAGTAAGCAATCGTGTTGAATGCCTAAGCCAGATTTCAGAGCAAAATTTAACAAAATCTTTGAGCTCGATCAATGGTGACAAACTACTAAAAGATTCCATATCATAAAGATCAGGATTTAGCTTGATTTGACAGTTATCCACCCTCTGGATGTTATATTTGATTTAAAATAGGTATTGAAATAATAGTTTTTAATTAAAGAAATGTTCAAATCCACCAGAGCAGTTTCCTTCCTATTTTACTTTGATAAAACTGGAGATATTTTTAGTCAGAGGGGTTCATATTTGCAATAGTAGGTGTTGCATCTACCATTGGACTAAAATGGCTTCTTGCAAGTTGACACAATAATGCAGACACAGACACATGTAGAAGTTATGGGAGTGATTTATTTCAGGATGCAGGTTCAGTGCATTATGCTTCCCGAAGAGACAGCACAGAAATGGAGAGATCAAACAAACCAGCGATTAGAAAAGCAACTGAAGCAAAAGCTTTGTGGTACAAATCACAACAATCAGTGTCATCATCTGTGAAAAACCCCTGGACTATTACAGTGAAAAAAACGCAATCCCTTATGTTCCCATTGGCATGTTAAGGAACATTGGTACAATGATGACAAGTTACTATGAAAACTAACAGGAACATGAGCAAAATATGTACAATAGATGGTTTAAGGTGTAAATAAGTGGATGTAATGTGCCGTATTAAATACAAGATCAAATGAGGAGAGGTGGGGGACAACAGCGGTGGCGTTGGTGTTCTGTAAAGTCCTTCAGATTAAGGGTGTGTTTAAAATGTTTTGGCTCCTGTCCCAGACTTCTTTATGCTGTTAGTGCAATCAATCCCACAAAAAGTCATTAGGAAGAGTCCAACGCAAACAATAACCGGTGTTCACGCACACAGCAAAAAAAAAGGACCATGTGTATCAAAAATATCCATATTCATAATCATTATTGTATACAGTAGCTGTAAGTGTCTTTTGGTGACAACAAAATTACTTCCAGTTAACAAGAAGAAGTAGGAGATATTCCTGATGGTAAAACACAGTCATTGAAAACTGATCGATGTAAAATAGCAATGATACTTGAAAATGTGACTTTTTCTTTTTGTAAATAGGAAACTCGTTTGTATTGAAGCCCATTTTCACCAACTCAAAGTAAAAATAATGACTCATAATTATGAGATTTATTTTTATGAGATTATTTATGTCATAATTGTGACTTAAAAGTTTAAATTACAACTCTAAATCCCATATGGATGACCTACCATGGGTAATTTTATTACTTTCAGGTGGAGGAAATATGCTTCCATACATTGGCAAACAATCCAGGAGGACAAAAAAAAAAAACAAAGAAAAAAAACAACCCAAACGCTATTTATTTTGGTAGTCGTGTAAAACACAAACACATAAGTTGATGAGAATATATACAAAGTGGAATTCACTGTTCTTATTTACACATTTACATACGACTAACTAAACCCTTAAAGAGACAAGATTCCACCTTGGGCTACGCCTAATATAGGCTGATACAGAATACATCAACTACCCCCTTTCTCCTGATGTCGGCAACCTTTGTCTCCAGGGGACGGAGTCTGCTCTGACCCCGAACGTGTAAGGAGGAGGAGAAACAGAAAGGGCCATTCATATTTTCTTAAAGACAAATAACATGACAACAGAGAATATCACAGAGCAGGCCGAACTCTGCTGTCTTAGGCACCATGGGACAGACGGAGCTGATACTGGTTTGAAACGCGGCACATTGACCTTCTAAGGGGCGAGTCACAGTTAAACGGGGGTCCAGGAGAGTGATGACGCAGGATGGTGTCAAAGGATCAAAGTGAAGTGGATATAATGGTGGAGTCCCAATGGAGGTAAGCAGTACCTGTGAGTGGAAAATCCCAGAAAGTGCAACACCGCCCTCTTGTGTTTGCATGCTTATTCTCTTCATATGCAAATTCACAAGGGTTTATTATACTGTACATTCCATTGAGATAATTATTGCCTTGTAAAAGAGAGGAGAGGAGTGATAACTTTGGGGTGAAGAATGGTGAATACCACAAAATAAAAAAAAAATAAAAAACTGACTCGTCTTCATTTAACCTCACTATCCCAGCACAGCCTATATTTAATACTCAAATTTAACCAGTGCTGCCTTGGAAAAGTAATAATATCCCCCAAAAATGATCTACTTGACCAATTAAAACCAAAGACTTTGATTTATTTTATGTTATATATAGCAAAAATAAACAATTGCATCATTGTGAAGTTAAACGAACATTACCAGAGGTTTTCAAAACTATTTACAATAATAAACTGGGATTTTTTAAATTTGCAATCATACCCTGAACACCCTAACAACCCTAAATAAAATGAGGTGCTAGAAACTGCTTTTAAACAGTTCTGTGTATAAGATTTTTTTTGTTGCATTCATCCTAATTATACCGTACAGACAAGAAGATCAATGTCAGCAAATAAAGGAACGTGGTGACTGAAGGATGTTAGGAATAATCTTGATCATTCATAAAAAGAAGACTTGTTAAGCCCTAAAATATCCAGATTTTTAAAGAAAGATAGTTTTTCCTACCCACCCATGCTATAATGCTATAAGTCACGGTTTCCCATAGTGGGGGACAGGTTGGTTTTGTGAGAATCCAACTTCAGGCTAGGGATAAGGTTTTCAAATTCACTTTCATGTGATCCCTAAAATATATGGAGTGCTAAAATAGATCAGAACCTTAATGAATGTATAAAAAAAAATAAAAAAAAAAACAAACCAGCAACAACTTCCAGGTAATGAACCCAGCGCTGGAACTCTGCATGCTATTTCTGCACTTGGATGTGTTAAAATGTCTTTTTCTAAAGTTATTTAGATTAAGGAGTGTTATTAAAGTGTTATTTAAAGATTGATATATCCAGGGCAAATAAACTGGGAAAAAGCACAAGTGCCTTATGGCATCAAACCAGGGACCTTCAAAGATGCTAGCTCAGGTGGGAAAACGTGTTGACAGCCTAACAATTGGCATTGCACCATTCATAGATGCATCTGGATGGTTGCTGGTTCAAACCCCACATCTTTTTGACTGAATCTTTAAGTCCTTGAACAATTCACCCCAATTACCTATATTGATGGTGGTCAGCCTGATGGAACTCAGCAGTCTTGTGTCAGTGAGCCCCAGGGCAGCAGTGGCTACAAAGTAGCTTGCCTCAATCAGTGTGTTAATGACTATATGAATGGGTTGCAAAAAAGTAAAAAAAAAAACAATCTGAGACTTTGTTTCTGAGTTTGAAGATGTTTCACTTCCCATCCAGGAAACATTTTTAGTTCAAATTGTCAGAAATAGTTTTGAGATTGAGGCTTTGTAGAGTGGACCAGAAACAAAGCCTTGTTTTGGCTTAGATAACATGCAAATTAAACCGGACGAATAGGTCTGCAATAGTGGAAAGGGGTCCTATTTGGGTTTTTTTTAGCCAGCAATAAACAATATCTGTCTATGTCTCTAAAAGGGAGGTCGATAAAGGGAATTGTTGGCCCGACTGAACAGGCGAGCCAACAATTCCCTATAACTTCACATGCTAACAGGCTAACAAAGAAACCAAACGACCCCCATTCCAAAGGGGCAGACCCTTTCGTCCGGTTAAATTTTCGGGTTTTCTAAGCCAAAACGGCGCTTTGTTTTTGGTCCACTCTATAAAGCCTTGAATTGAACACTATTTCTGACATTTTGAATAGAAAAAGCTTCCTGAAACGTCTTTAAACTTGGAAACAAAGTACAGTATATTGTTTTTTTACTTTTTTGGAATGACTGTGACCTGGATGACTGAGAATCTTCACCAGCATACATGAATGGGTGAATAACGGAATGTCCCCTGACTTTAATGTGTGTTATATAATAACAGGCCATTTACAAATAAGAAACCAGAAAATTGCCACCATGTTCTACTCAAGGAACGTGTCAGGACTTGAAAAACCTCTTTTTTTTTAATAGAGGCTCCCAATTAACACTGACTAGGAATGTTGTTGTCTTTTCTTTCTCAATAAAAAATACACACTGCTTCATATCATTAATACCCAATCTAATACATTTTAGTCTGTGGCTTCACCTTGTTTAGATATTAAAACATTCAGGGGGTATCATTAGTTTTTCAAGGCACTGTAGGTGCAACGTGATTTTAATCGCCACTGGCCTAGACTGTTCAACCATCTGAAATACCAGTTCATGCCAAATGGAGTTGTGCTAGCTGATTTTGAGCATGTTGAGTGTACAAATATTTACGCACATTTTTAAGCACTGAAAAGCCATCAATACAGAATTTTTAAACATGTACTTTTTTAAAGTTGATATGAACTCAGAGGAGAAGAGAGGATTGGAAGGTTCAATACAAATTTAAACTGGTCACATAAAACTGAAGAGGCCGTTGGGTAGAAGTAATGTTTCGTGGGTGGTAATGGGGAAAAAAGAGCGGGAGGAAGTCAGAGTCCCTGTGCTTGTTAGCCGGCTCGGCTAGGCTGGGCTAGCCCGTCAGCATTGCCCTGTCAGCCATCAGCTGCTCAGGTAGCCGTGTAATTCTCTGGAGTTGATGCTCAGGATCACACCTGAGTGGTTGCCTGGAGACAAGTGGGGAAACAAAACATAACACTGATACAAATGAGTTTTTTTACTTCAATGATACATTTTAAACTTTAGATATATAAAGTATCCCTGAATATAATAAAGAATTCTTTCACTTTTTTAGCTGTTTCTTTAGGATTATTGCTAACGTCTAACAATAACCAAACATTCTTGGAAAATTTCTTTTTTTCCTGAGACCAATAAACTGTGGTCTAGCGCAAAATGTTATATTATGGTTGTTTTGTTGTGTAAGTATTGAAGGAGGAGACTGCTAATGTGACATGGGTTATTATGGGCTGCATTCCTACTGCAGTTCTTGATTCTCACTTCGATTTGCTTTCTGGAACCTAATTATTTTTACGATATGTCTCTCTTCAGTGTGAACTGTCCGTGGCTAAAAATTGACCCACATGCACAGAGTAGCAATAAAAATACACCCTGCACAACAGTAAGAAATGAGAAAGAAGAAATATTTGTTGAAATGATGACATGATTTATATCTAAACGATGTCTGTTTGGTTGAAAAGTGAAAGGTTAAAAGCTGTAATATTCAGATGTTGAAAACTGGGTTTGCAATGTCTTTTCAATGTCTATTATTGGACTAAAGATGGATATAATGAGATCGACCAAACACAGCCCAGTTTTCAACAACTATTTCTGGACTAAATCAAGACTATAACGGACTGACCAGATTTAGCCTAAAATCGTCCACATGACCTCTGGTGTTTTGGGGGGAGAAGCCATTTATTGTGTGGGAAACTAATTAATAAAATGAGATTGAAACTCTTTTGTGTTGTGATTAAGAAAGATCTGACGGCCATTTCAGCAGGACGGAATGTTTTTATGCATCCAAAGCCAAATGTGCGCAAGTTTGTATTCAAATCGACAATAATTTATGTTCCATGTACAGACTTTCCTATGAGCCTTTCAATTTTTGGCTTTACCCTTGGCCTTTTGGTTTTATCTCTGTCTATTGATGAGGTCTAATGTCTCAATGTCTTTTTACTGTCATGACATCGGTCTGTTTTGCCAACTACTACTGTTTCCTGCTGGGCAGATGTACAGTAAAAGGGATGGAAATTGATAAAAAAGTTACATCTAATCGCATTGTTTCTTTTCAATGGAAATTCTAAAACATCAGGTACAACCTGGATTCAGGGGTGCATATAAAGGTTTCTCAAATTTTACTTAAAAAGATATTGACTAAATCTCAGAATTCCAGCTTGTTTTAAACAGCCTGACTTGACCCCCAAAACATGCCTTGATTTTAGCACTTGTTAGAATAAAGTCCTTATGAATGAGGCAAGTGAAACTGAGTGTCAATGTATACCAATGGGACATTTCCTCTAGGAGTGGCTAATACTCTA